AAAGGCAAGGGAGGGGGGCAGGGAGAAGACAACAGCTGAAATTCAGAAATAAATTCACAGCATAAATAGGGATGATTTGCAACAATAAAAACATAAAAGGGGTGTGGGTAAAGGTCTGAATTTGTAAAGATGGATGAAGATTAGATGCATACAGAAGAAAAAGGACTACTATATAGATATGAAACTTTCTTTTAAAATTAGTGGTAACCATACACAAAAAACCCCATATCAAGACATATAGTTTTAAAAAAGAGGAAACAGAGGAAGGAGGTATGGATACCACCAAACAAAAATGACAGAAACACAAAGGAAAAGAACCAGAAAAGTGACTGCAGAAAATTCTTATAAACCAATAATTACCCTGAATGTTAATTGACTGAATTCACCAATAAAAAGGCAGAGAGTGGCAGATTGAATCGAAAAGCAAAAGCCAAGCATATGCTGTCTTCAGGAGACACATCTGAGCTGCAGAGACAAAGTTAGACTCAAAGTGAAAGGGTGTAAAATGATTCTCCAAGCAAATGGCACCAACAGAAAAGCAGGCAGAGCCATACTTCTGACAAAATAGATTTCAAGGTAAGAAAGGAAACGAGATGAGGATGGATGTTTTAAAAATGATACAGGAGACAGTACATCAAGAAGACATAACACTTCTCAATATATATGCACCCAGTCAGGGAGTACTGAAATATATAAAGCAACTACTAACAGAACAAAAGGGAGAAACTGAAAAACAAAACAAAACACAATCATAGTAGGGGATCTACATACGCCACTGACAGCTATATAAAGATCGTCCAAACAGAAAAGGTACATAATTGACATTTACAGAACCCTTCATCCCAGAACACCAGATTATACATTCTTCTCTGGTGCACATGGAACATTCTCAAGGATAGACCATATGTAGGAACACAAAATAAGCCTCAACAAATTTAAGAATGGTATCACACCAAGCATATTCTCCAACTCCAATGCTTTCAAATTAGAAATCAACTCCAAAAAGGAAGTGGAACCCCTTGTCCCCCAAATATGTGGAGATTATACATGCTACTAAAAAATGACTGGGTCAAAAAAAGAAATAAAAGGTGAAATTAAAAGAGACATATGAGAGTGACAATACAACATATTAAAACTTTTGGGACACAGCGGAGGCAGTAATAAGAGGAAAGTTTATATAATTACATGCCTATCTTAAGAAACAAGAAAACTCCCAAGTATATAACCTAACATTACACCTTAAAGGACTAAAAAAAAGAACAAAAGCAGCCCAAAGTCAGCAGAAAGAAATAAAAATTAGAACAGAATTAAACAAAATAAGAACAAAAAATATGTACAAATAATTAACACAACAGAGTTGGTTCACTGAAAAGATTAATAAACTTGACAAACTTCTCACTAGACTCACTAAGGAAAAAAGAAAGAAAAGACGCAAATAAACAAAATCAGAAATGAAAGAAAAATCACCACAGACATCACATAAATACAAAGGTTCTTACCAGAATATTATGAAAGCCTATATGTCACCAAATTCCTAGAAGGAATAGGTAAGTTCCTAAGAACATATAACTCTCCTAGACTGGATCATGAAGAACTGGAAAATCAAAGTCACTGATCAACAGGAAATTGAAACAACCATCAAAAACCTCTCAAGAAGTAAATGTCCAGGACCAGATGACTTCTCTAGTAAATTCTAACAAATATTCAAAGATGATTTAATATCTATCCTTCTCAAATGATTCCAAAAATTGAAAAAGGAGAAATACTTCCTGACACATTTTACGAGGCCAATAAAACCCTGATACCAAAATCTGGCAAGGATCTCACACACACACACACACACACACACACACACACACACACACACACACAATGTAGACCAATATCTCTGATGAATACAGATGCAAAAATCCTAAACAGAATACTAGCAAATTGAATAGAACAATGTATTAAAAATAACACATATGGATCAAGTGGCATTAATTCCAGCAGTACATATCTGAGATTCCATCACCCTAGTTAAAACTGTTCACTCTGCCCATGTGATTCCCTGTGACCCTACCCTACCAAACTTTTGGATCCACCTAAGCTGCTTCCAGTGGCATTTCCCTACAAATGGCCTCTCTAGGCTCACAATGCAGACTCTCCTAAAGTCTCTCTAATATCTATAAACCCCTAACAAGCAGCATCTGGCTTCTGTGTACCCCTGTACTTCTTTGCAAGCAGCCCTAAGCCTGGCACCAGCCAACCTCAGTTCTCAGCTTAGCCTGTCCTGGGCCCCTCTCAGCACACCACAAGTGGCACTCATCTGCAGATTGCTTTGTAAGTCATGCCTCGTGGCCCTGGGCAGGGCACAGGAAGTAGCTCGCCTTGCCTAAACCTCCCAGGAGGCCCCACTGAGTACACTGCCCCAGACAAAGCCAGAGCAATACCCAACCTCCTCCATAATCAACAAATTCAAGGGACAGACTTGGCAAATGGCAAAGCCCTGCTGAAGCAAGTCTTGCTCTATGGGGTTGGCCTTGACCAGCAGCTTCCCTGCTGTAGTTATGGCTGGTCCTTGCAGCCCATTGGCCGGGTGGCGGGGGGGGGCAGTCAGTCCATTTCACTGATATGCAGATAGCAATTAAAGCTGAACTACAACAGAAGGGTGCACATAGTCCAAATGGTGGGTGTGCCTGGAGTGCCCTGCTCAGGTGAAGGGGAGGCTACACCACTGAGTCCCACAGGGCAGTGGCTACTCAAGGCCACTCTACAAAGCCCGGGAGAAATAGCAGGTCTATGTAATACATAGAAATACACAGAAGCAGCCAATATAGGGAGACAAAGAATCAAATCTCAAATGAAAGGTTAGAACAAAATTCAAGAAAAAGAACTAAACAAAATGGAGACCTTGAGCAATCTACTAGATGCAGAGTTCAAAATACTGGTTATAAGGATGTTCAACGAATTTAGGGGAAGAATAGATCAACTCAGTGAGAACTTCAGTAAAGTGATAAGAAACATAAAAAAGGAGAAAACATAAAGAACTAGTCAGAAATGAGGACTGCAATAACAAATGAAGAATACACTAGAAGGAATCAACAGTGGGTTAGATGAAGAAGAGGACTGAATCAGTGATTTGGAAGATAAAGTAGCAGAAAACACACAATCACAAGAAAAGAAAAATGAATTTAAAAAAATGATTTAAGGGGCCACTGGGAAAACATCAAGCATACTGATATTCACATCATGGAAATGCTGAAAGGAGAAGGAAAAAAGCAAGGAATCAAAAACCTATTTGAAAAAATAATGACTGAAACATTCCTAAATTGATGAAGGAAATAGACAAACAAGTCTAGGAAGCACAGAGAGTCCTAAATGACATGAACCAAAATAGGCCATACTAAGATAGATCATAAAAATGCCAAAGGTTAAAGACAAGGAGAGAATTTTAAAAGCATCAAGAGAAAAGCAGATTGTTACCTACAAAGGGAGCCCCCATAAGACTGATTTCTCAATAGAAATTTCGCAGGCCAGAATGGAGTGGAATGAAATATTCAAAATTATGAAAAGCAAGGACCTATAACCAAGATTATTCTATCAAGCAAGGCTATTATTTAAAATGGAGGGACATATAAGGAGATTCCCTGAAAAGAAAAATCTAAAAAAGTTCATTATCACCTAACCAATATTATAAGAAATGTTACAGGGTCTTTTTTAAAGAAGAAAAAAATATGAAAAATAAAATGGCAGTAAGTGTATATCTATCAACAATTACTTTAAATACAAATGGACTACATGCTCCAATCAAGACACAGGATGGCTGAATGGAAAGAAAGCAAGAGACTCGCTTCAGATGGAAGGACACACAAAGATGAAAAGTAAAGAGATAGGAAAAAAAACTACATGGAATAAGGAAAAAACAAGAACACTAGGATAGAAATACTTACACCAGACAAAACAGACTTGAAAACAAAGGCTGTAACAAGAAACAAAGAAGGATCTAGAAATTCAACTGATGGGTATTTATCCAAAGAAACACAAAACACTAATTTGAAAAGACACATGCATTCTTATGTTCACTGCAGCATTATTTACAACAGCCAAGTCATGGAAGCAACCTAAATGCCTATCAATAGAAAAGTGAATAAAGAAGTGGTACACATATACAACGAAGTATTAGTTGGCCCTAAAGAAAAAAAAAAGAAATTCCCCCATTAGTGAGAGCATGTCTAGACCTGAGTGAAATCACAAGTCAGAGATAACATACCATGATTTCACTCACATGCAGAATCTAAAGAAAATAAAGCAAACAGGAACAGACTCATAGATATAAAGAGTGTTTTTTCAGTTGCCAGATGTGAGGTAGGTTGGGGGACTGGGTGGAAAAGGGAAAGAAATTAAGAAGCACAAATTGGTAATTACAAAATAACAACAGTGATGGAAAGTACAGCATAGGAAATATAGTCAATACTATTGTGATAACTATCTATGGTGCCAAATGGGTACTAGATTCACTGGGGTGATAATTTTGTAAGTTATACAAATGTCTAGTCACCTGGTTGTACACCTGAAACTAATATGATATTGTATGTCAACTATCATTAAACATTAAAAAATAATTTAAAAAATAATAGTAATGCCCTGGCTGGTGTTGCTCAGTGGATTGAGTGCCAGCCTATGAATCAAAAGGTCCCCAGTTCGATTCCCAGTCAGAGCGTATGTCTGGGCCGCAAGCCAGGTCCTCACTAGGAGCTCACAAGAGGCAAGCACACGTTGATGTTTCTCTCCCTTTCTCCCTCTCTTCCCTTGTCTAAAAATAAATTAAAAATAATAATAATAGTGATAAAAATCAAAGGTCCTAAAAATATTCAGTTCAATAAAACACAATTAAAAATATATTAGAAAATTAATATGGCTTTAAAGGGGTTTCCTCCTACTTTTTATGCCATGAACTTATGTAAAACACTCAGAGTTATAAATTATTTGGGGTCCTACAAATTCATTAAGTGACTTACCTCTTTTTTTCCTAATGATAACAGAAATTCTTCATTCAGTGGAAGTACTATAGAAACAAACAGAAAAACAACTTATACATATGCTAAGTTAACTGAGTCAAAAATCAAGAATTTGACTTTGTGATTTCTCAGATACCCCTTTCCCTTCCCACTTAATGTTAACAGAAATATGTGCAGTTTGAAATATGTGCAATTTATGAAATTATTTTTACATAGCAACTTTATATACAATATATAACCAACATATATTTTATACAAATAGGATATGCATTTTGTTTCTTAAGGCCTTTCCTATTTCCCTAATCCTTCAAAATCACAAGTAATAATCTCTAATGTGTTCCTTCTGTAGTCCTATGATCCTACTCATATACACATGTTTATATATATATTTATATGCATACATGCAAGGGTTATTAATTTTGTCATTGCTGGTTTTACAAGAATGGGATTATATCATATACATTATTCTTACCTTATTTTCACTCAACAAAACCCCCATTTCTCTAGTATAAATCAAATTCATAATTCATAATTTTAAATTGCTGCACAAGCCCTGGCTGGTGTGGCTCAATGGGTGGAGTGCCAGCCTGTGAATTAAAATGTCACGGGTTTGACTCCAGTCAGGGCACATGCCAGTGTAGCAGGCCAGGTCCCTGGCTGGGGTGTGTGACAGGCAACCTGTCTATGTACCTCTTGCACACTGAAGTTTCTCTACCTTTCTTTCTCCCACCCTTCCTTTCTCCCTAGAAAAGTAACTAAATAAAATGTTAAAAAAATAAATTGTTGCACAATATTCCATAGGGTCAATATGACATAATGTATTGCATGATTTTGCTATTAACTGAGCATTAATTTTGTACCTAGCTTTTATCCATAAAAAAATAAAACATTCTTTTATTTATGTCTTTCTGTATTGATGTTTTCATTTCTGTGTGACAGATTTCCAGGCATGGAGTTTCACACACACAAAAGTGTACTTTGAATTTTAATATAGTTTGCCAGATTATTTTCTAAAAAATTCTATGAGCGATGAATAAAAAATAGCAAATGATATTATAAACTTGCTTAAAACTTTTGCCAGTCTGATGAGTATAAACTATTATTTCATTTAAATTGTTAGCAAAATTAAATCCTTATACCTAGAAAGTTCAACCTTTATACTTAAGAAAATTACCTTTCTTTATACAGTGCTATTTAAAACTTCTCAAGTGATATGCTACTGAAAATTTCTAAGTTATCTGTTATCCTAGAGGGTCTTCTAAATAGTCAAGAGTTTCCTATACATGTTTCATAGGCCCTCTATTAGACTGATATAGGCAGCCACCGGATGTACTAAATCATTTCAATAAATGCAATGAGGAGTATAAGAACATAAAGTTTTAAAATCTCCCTCTTAGTGTGACCAAGAGTAGCATTTCTATACTCATTCAAACAATCATTTCAACCAATACAACATGGCAGTTTCTAAGAATATAAAATTTTTGATTTATTTTATTATTTTTAAAGATTTTATTTATCTACTTTTACAGAGTGGAAAAGGTAGGGAGAGAGAGGGGGTAAGATACATGGATGTGTGCCTCCTGGCACGCCCCCAACTGGGGACCTGGCCTGCCACCCAGGCATGCGTCCCGACATGCGTTCCAAACTGAAGGGAACCCTTCAGTTTGCAGGATGACGCCCCATCCACTGGGCCACACCAGTCAGGGCACGAAGAGTTCTAAAATCCTTCCAGTGTGGCAACCTATTAAACTAGCAACCCTAAGCAAGGTGGGTATTTGACCAACAGGATAGCCTGTGTGATCAGTGTTATCAGTACCAAGTGTGTATGTCAGGGCTGACGATAATAAGATAAATAAAAATTAAAAACTTTCCTGATACATAGCATCAAAAAGAATAAAATACTCAGGAATAAATTTACCTATGAAGGAAAAACCTTATACACTAAAAACTACAAAATGTTGCCAAAAGAAATTAAGGACACCAAGACATAGAAACACATTCCATGTTTACGGACTGGAAGATACAATATTGCTAGGATGTCAATACGAACCAAAGCAACTTAATGGTTTAATATAATCCCTATCAAAATCCCAGTGAACTGTTTTATAGACATAGAAAAGTCCATCCTGAAGTTCACATGGAATATCTCAAATAGCCAAAGCAATCTTGAAAAAGAACAAAGTTGGAGGTTTCACATGTCCTAATTTCCATCTACACAGCGACAGTAATCAAAACCATGCTACCAGCACGGAGAAGACACAGCACGAGTGGAACGGAGTGCTGAGCAACACATCCTCACTGTATGGGCAAAAGGTTTTTGAGAAGGGAGCTATGATAATGAGGAAAGAGACTGTTCCTCAACAAATCCTATTGGGGAACTAGATAATACACATGCAAAAGAATAAAGTCAGACCTTTACCTCTCCTTCAAATTTGAAAATTTCTACAATTAACTAAAATAGAAAAAAAAATCTAGAAGTAAAAAGTCTATTATAATAAACTAATGGATCAGGAATGAAGGCCTAAAGTAAATCTGTGGAAATAGGGTTCAATATTTTACAACTGGCTATATGTAAAATATAAAAGAGGAAGAATTTAGAAGTACTAAAATTTATGACAGGTCAAATAGAGTCAATTCAATGGGTCAGGGAATGAAGACCAGCTCATGAACCTAAGATACCTAGAAAATATTTTGGAAAAGATATCTAGAAGCTAGAATGATATATGAGTGTGACATTACAGTGAAATCTGGTTTATCTAGTTTTAGAAACTGTTGCGGAAATTGTGTTATCCCTTACCCTTCCCAGTTCAAATGTTGGAGTCCTAATCCCCAGCACCTCAAATGTGACTGTATTTGGAATTGGGTCCTTAAAAAGATAATTAGGTTAAAATGAGGTCATATACAAAGAGATTAGGATATATAGCCAGGTGGCCATGTTAAGACATTGGTTGAAGATGGCAACCTGCAACCCAAAAAGAGAGACCCCAGAAGAAAACAACACCTTGATCTTGGGCTTCTAGACCCCAGAACTGTGAGGAAATAAAGTTGTTACTTAAAAACAAAAGGAAACAAAACCCAGCCCGTGGTACTTTGAGATGGCAGCCCTAGCAACCTAATATATAAGTCATTAATACATCATAACACATAAAAACAGGAGCAAAAAATATAATGCTGGAATAGCAGTTAGAATAAGAAGTGATATGAGCTGAGAACAGTCCTCTGGAGAACACCAACATATTAACGGCAGAGTATGAGCAGCTTTTGAGATGCTCAATATAATGCTCAGAAGGCAAAAGAAAATATAGTTAGATGCAAGTTAAAATCACAATTATATACATGCCTACCAAAAGTGCTAAAATTAAAGACTCCTATGTGATGGTGAGAATGTGGAACAATGGTAGACATTGGCATGGATATAGTAATTACATCCAAGAATGCAGATGAAATTGTCTGGGAAGAGAATGAAGAGAAGACTCCCAATAACTGGGGTAGAGAATGATAAGCTTACAGAGGAGACTAAGAAGGAAAAAGGAGTTAAAGGAAAGGAGACAGAATCAGCAAGAAGAGGAAGAGAGACATATATAGAAAAAGGGTGCAATAGATACAGAATACCATGCACAGTCTACAGCTGTACCACCCTGAACGCGCCCAATCTCGTCTGATCTCGAAAGCTAAGCAGGGTCGGGCCTGGTTAGTACTTGGATGGGAGAATACCATACACAAGCATACACAGCATAGAGAAATGTAGGCTTTCATAATAAAAAGATATCTCCTAGTTGGATGTTTTAACAAGATTTTTAAGCAAACTTCTATTTCTCAACTAAAGGCAAACATACAGTTGGTCTTAGCCTGACAAGTCAAAAGACAATATACAATCTGTGTTTCCTGTATGTAAATCAGTCTCTAAAATACTTTTCCACTAGGTAAGCTTCATTCATTAAGAAGCAAATTATAGCCCTGGGTGGTGTGGTGCAGTGGATTGAGCACTGGCCTGTGAACCAAAGAATCACTGGTTCAATTCCCAGTCAGGGCACATGCCTGGGTTGCTGGCCAGGCTAGGCCCCCAGTAGGGGGAGTGTGAGAAGCAACCACACATTGATATTTCTTTCTCTCTCCCTTCCTTTGTGTCTAAAATTAATAAATAAAAATATAAAACAAACAAACAAACAAAAAAGCAAATTACAGTTTCTACTGAGTATATAAAGCAGTGTCTATAAGGATGAAATGTGGCCATAATATCTCCATAATTGAGATTACTATAATGTGAGACAGATATGTTCATCTACAGTAAAATAAGCACAAAATAATGTATATGAAGAAAGAAAAATAAAATAATGTATATGAAGAAAGAAAAATAAGGTGAATTCCTCATATCAATGAAATTTGGGCAATTTCAAGAAGGCTAAATGCACTCTCCTGGTGTGGCTCAGTGGATTGAGTGCTGGCTTGTGAACCAACAGGTTGCCGGTTCAATTCCCAGTCAGGGCACATGCTTGTGTTGTGGGTCACGTTCCCAGTTGGGGGCACACAAAAGGCAACCACACATTAGTGTTTCTCTCCCCCTCTTTCTCCCTCCTTTCTTCTCTCTAAAAATAAACATAAAATCTTTAAAAAAAAGATAAAAAAGGAAGGCTAAATGGGTCTTATAATTCTTCTTATGATCATTAAATTAACTTACTTTGTTTATGAAAATATAAACCTAAAAATAAGAATCTTACCTTCAGGAGTTTCTTTCTGCCATTGGCTGAGTTCAGCAGTTAAACATTTCATTTGCATAACTAATAATGACAGCTATAAAAAAAGAACAAGAGAATAAAACAAAATCATTTCTTGTAGAATATTCATAGCTACTCATAGAGGAACATGTAGACATTTTTTATACTTTAATACAAGGTCTTAACATAAATAGCTAACATAGTCATCTAAACTATAAAAAATGATCACTCCAAACAGAATTCTGCTTTAAATCATACCAAGTATAGCTCATAATTGTCAGTTATACCAGTGAGATAGTATTAAAAAATGATCACTTGTACTTCACTTAATCTAAAAAAATGAACCTAAATACATTAAATTAATTCCTAAATTAATATTTATTTTAAAAAATAAGCAGCCTTGGCTGGGTGACTCAATTGGCTGGAGCATCATCCTGTATACCAACAGGTTGTGGGTTCGATCCCCAGTCAGGGCATGTACAGGAGGCAACTGATTGATGTCTCTACCTCACATTCCTTTCTCTCCCTCTCTCCTACTCTCAAATTAATAAATATATCCTCCAGTGAGGATGAAAAAAAGAATGTTATTTCTTGCCAACATTTTTTAGACAAATTTGCATTAAAGATGTTCTTTTCTCTCTCCATGCACTTTCAGAAAAATTGTTTTCTGAAACAATTTTTTGCTACTCAACTGTTTTCAGTTGAGTAGCAAAAAACAACTGTTTTCAGTTGAGTAGCAAAAAATAACTTTAAATACGTACATAGAGACAATAAGACTGGTTCCACAAGCCACACATAAAAACCAGTTTTACTACACAATAGTTTTCAATTTGTATACTTCTTTAACCAAAGATAAATTAGGATGAATATGTTTCTGATATTAGGTAGTAGCAATCACTGTAGTTTTGATAATTACAAATCTGTGTGATAAATCTGTTACCTGATTAGAGTACAAAATTAAAGTCTATGCATGCTTAAAGTTAAATTTCAAATTTCAGTACTTCTTTTTAATCTCTTTTATATAATTCTTATTAGTAGCCAAACATAAAAAAAATTCATATTTCAAAAATGTAGTATTACTATAATATTTACACTAAAAGAATATCAACTATTGTCTTTTTAAACAGATTTTTATGATACAGAGCAGGTAATTCAAACACCCAGCTCTGCACTACAACATTGACTATTGAATGGTCAATAGTCAGAGGTTAAAAAGCAACAAAACTAGTCTCCTTGAAAACCTTATATGATTATATACAAATACATTTGTAGGTATTTAAATTTTTTACCAAAGGAAAGTTCTACATTCTTTTCTTATAGATAATCAAATAAGAATCTGAAAAACTTTTTTGTTAACTAGAAAATAATTTATAAATTATTATTTATCATAATTTTATAATATATTTATAGTTTATAAGTTATTATTAGGAAGTGATTAAAATTCTTAAAAAGCATTATCTAGACTAGGCAACATTATCATGATGATAAAGAATTCTATTAATTTCCTTCATATATTAGGTTAAAATATATAAAATTACCAAATATTCATTTTTTCACCTATGATAAATAAATCCCAGCAATTTCTACAGTTCACTATATTCATGAAACACAGCACTTATGCTGCCAAAGCCCAGCTGAAACACTCAAAATTACTTTTGATCTTGCTATAAAATTAAACAACCCTTTCTAAAACAAAAATATAACAGTAGTATTTCTAAAGTCAAAACTTTGAGGAATCCTGCCATTTTCTCATTTAAAACATCTAACTTCTTGCTTTAGAAAAAGAATTGAGTTTTAAAACTGAAGTTTTTAAGTTTAATAGATGTACAGAAGAGTTAACAAAGCATGTCCTAGTATTACCCCTAGAGGCCTGCTTACAAGGTGGGCCTCTGGGAGTTTGGATTTTAAGATGATTCATTCCTTCCAACCTAACTGATAAGAGTGGCTCACTGTGCCTAAACTGTACAAAGAATATGACTTAGGGTAGTACACCCGCCTTCCTTCTGAGAGTTAGCTATTTTTGTAACTGCTAGGGAGAGGATCTCAAAGTCACTAGCACCCACGAATAACCTTAGGCACTGAGTCTCTAACGAGGTTCCTTGGAAGACAATTTCGCATGTGTCACAAATCACTGGGGGACATTAGCATGTCTGTGTGACTCCCCTGGAACACACTCTTGAAAGCTTGTGCCTGTGTTCCTCTGGACATCAGCCATGGTCTTTTCCCCTTTACCGATTTTACTCTATATCCTTTCAATGTTATAAACCTCAGCCAGTACCTTCACTGTATAATGAGCCCTGTGAATCCTCTTAGGAACCACCAAACCTGAGAGTAATCCTGGGGAAAAGACATGACAGGAAAAGACATTTTGTGCATTCATTATGTTATTACTGACTATCGAAAGATCCTGATTATTTACAACTACCTAAGTACCACCCTCAAAGGCAGGGTTTGGCTCAGTGCATGAAAATCACTCAGGAAATTTATAAGCCCAATCCCTACTGATTCTGTTACAGTAGGTCTCAATTTCTACACTGTAAGAACACATTTCCCAAGAAAACACAGATGACAGTTTATATACTAATGGTTGCCAAATACACTATGCAGTTTTACCTTGTACAACAGAGCTCTACATTTATTAATGGCTACAAATTTTGTTCTTTTTACAGAAGATGGCTTAATTCTTTATCACCAATCTTTAGATTAAAGATCTGGTAAAACACATACTTTCAAAAAGATAAATTAGTTTTTCCCCCTTCTCTTTATCTCATTCTCATTTTTTATTGAGCATTACTATCCTCAGAGATTATAGTTTTTCCATAGTGTTATAGTGAATTTAAGCCATTATCCCTTTTGATGCTCAACTTATACCAGCTGGGTGCCTTCAATGATCTTTTGACATGCTCCAGTCAGTTTTAGAGAACTTTCATTGGAATCATTTGCATATTGGACTTTGTTCTTAGAATTTTTATTTCTAAAACATTTTTAACTTTTTATATGATCAAATACATATAAGTATTCTTTTATAATTTCCAGATTTTTATCAACAGCCAAAAATTCTCCCTTGTCACTAGACTGCAGTCTCCTTGCTTTTCTTGTAAAATTTTATAACAATCCATCTACAATTGGTTTATGTAATGAAATATGGAAGTTGGATTTCATTTTCTCCCAGATGGATATCTAGTTGCATCAGTATCATTTATGAACTAATTCATCCCTTTCCCCTACATTGGAACTATCATCTTTGTCATATTTTAAATTCTTTTTTTTAAAGTATTTTTTCACTGATTATGCTATTATAGTTTTCCCAATTTTCCCCATTATCCCCCCTCCACCTTGCATCCCCCAACCCTCCAGCATTGCCCTCCTTAGTTCTTGTCCATGGGTGGTACATATAAGTTCTTTGAATTGTTTCCTATACCATTTTTGACCTCTCCCTGTCTATTTTATGCCTCCCAATTATGCTTCTAATTCCCTGTACCTCCCCCCCCATTCTTCTCCTCCCACTTCCCACTGAAACCCCTCCATGTAATGTACATTTCTGTGATTTTGTTCTTGGCCTAGTTGTTTGCTTAGTTTTTGTGGGGCTTTTTTGGGTTAATTTGATGATAGTTGTAAGTTTGTCGTCATATTATTGTTCATAGTTTTTGATCTTCTTCAATTTCTTAGGTAAGTCCCTTTAACATTTCATATAAGGCCTTGGTGATGATGAACTGCTTTAACTTGACCTCATCTGGGAAGCATTTTATCTGCCCTTCCATTCTCAAGGATTGCTTTGCTGAATACAGTAATCTTGGATGTAGGTCCTTGCCTTTCACGACTTTGAACACTTCTTTCCAGCCCCTTCTTGCCTGTAAGGTTTCTTTTGAGAAATCAGCTGAGAGTCTTATGGGAAATCCTTTGTAGGTAACGGTCTCCTTATCTCTTGCTGCTTTTAAGATTCTCTCCGTATCTTTAATCTTGGGTAACTTAATGGTGATGTGCTAATTTTAGATTGGTTGTTATCCTCCTTTTGGTTGTGCAAGGAAGTGAAGGGTTTCTACCTACATCTTGGTCAGAACTCCATATTTTGAATTCTTAATCTGTTGTACTAACGCTTTGGTGTATTGCTAAACCAATCCCATAGGTCTTTGATTATTAAAACGAATATCTTAATCCTTTTTTAAGCCTAGGGTAAAATCAGTTAAGATTTTACATAGACAGTAAAATAATTGTGGCTACTTAACAAAAAGCAGGTAAAACTTTGTTATGGTTTTTAACAAAGTATCATAATAACAGTAACCATGGGGTAATTGACTCAACAGTTAAAGGTTACCTTAGCTGAAATAAGATAAATAAAATAAAATATTCTTAGTTATTTATAATAGCTGAATCTAGAAGTTTTTAAAATATGCCTCTTAAATCAGAAAGAGTATAGAATTTTCCGAATGATTAAGCATATAGGTATAAACAAAACTATTATACTTGGGATAAATATAGACAGATAAACTTATCCAAAACATAAAGATTACATTTACTTATTTTTAGATAGAAACAAAAGGATACATACCCGAGCATTTGACTCAGTGAGTGTCTCGGTTCCAACAAGCGATAATTTATTCTGACACTTGATTTAAAAAGTAAAGAAAAACAAGTCATACACTATAACCCCAAATTTCCTTCCCCTCCCCTTTTACACTTGTCAATCTAATATTCCTCTAAAATAATATACAACTATCTGATGTAAGAGAACAATTTTTTTAATTCCTTACTTTATAAGCCAGAAAACACAAAAGACAGCAAATAGATCCCAAGGTGAATACATGCAAAGTAGAAGGGTATATTAGACTCTATACAGAAAAAAATAAGTGTGAGAAACAGGAAAAAAGAACAAAAACCAACAGGGTGAATTAGAAGGCAGATAATGGAAAAATGGGGAATAAGAGGGAAAGCACTATAGAAAATAACAAGACAGTTAAGATTTTAAGAAAATAAAGCCTCTAAGAGGCATTGTTTGTGTGCCATTAACAAAATCTACAACTGTTATTAGTGATTATATCTGAATAAAACTATGGGCGATCTGAATTTTATTTATGGTTACAGTGGATAGTGGAATCTCGGTTCTCAAACTTCATTCCAGAAAACTGTTCAAGTGATTTGTTTGAAAACCAAATATCCTTTGCAAGACTGATTATACAACAGCAAGAAAGGGCTACAGGGTAGAAAATTAATACACAAAGTTCTGTTAGACAACCAAGACCTTTTTTCCATGAACAACTTGGTCAAGAACCAAACTGTTAGAGAACCAAGATATTTCAGAACCAAGGTTTGACTGTATTCTTATTTACAGTATCTTTTTTTTGAGGATTTTAAAATAGGTTTATTTGAGCCAAACCAATGACACAGGCCAGAGCAAGATCTCAAATGCTCTAAAAAATGAGTTTTGTAGCTTCTTTTATGTATTTGAATTAAGGAGGGAATATGCTCATATATGGAGGTGGGAGAGAGTAACATGGACACTGGATTACAGGATAGCTGACAAGATTATATGTTCTCTTTTTTCTTATTTTTCAGTTATGGTTGACATTCAATACTATCTTATATCAGTTCCAGGTGTACACCACAGTAATCAGACAATAAGGTAATACAAAGTGATCCTCCTGATATTTCGAGCAGCTACCTGACTCCATACTTAGTTACTACATTATTACTGACTATACTTCCTGTGTTGTACTTTACACCCTGTGACTACTTTGTTGCTACCAATTTGCACTTCTAAAATCCCTTCAGCTTTTTCACCAAGTCCCTCAATTCCCAGCAATTCCACTTCTGGATACATATCCAAAGAAACCCAAAACACTAATTTGAAAAGATCTGTGTACTCCTGCATGTGCTCATGTTCATTACTGCATCACTTAAAACAGCTAACACACGGAAGCAACCCAAGTGCCCCTCAGAAGACAAGTAGATAAAAAAGTCTGTTACATACGGAGAATGAACTCTTACCATTTGCAACAGCATAGATGGGCCTAGAGGGATATTATGCTAAGTGAAATAAGTCAGAGAGAGACAAATACCATGTAATTTCACTTATTTATGTTCTCTTGAAGGTAGTTATTTCAAGGGTATATCAATGTATATGCACTGAAACAATGAAGAGAACTTGCTTAAGGCAAAAATAAACCTTTTACTAAAAAGAATTTTGCTTCAAGCTTGAGTACCCACCATGATCTGCCCATTTAGGAATTTATGATCAGATGTACCTTACTACAAAAAATAATTGAAATTATTTTTAAAATCAAATTTCTATACTGAAAAATATCAAAAGCAAAAAAAAAACCCCACCCAGGATTATATATAAAAATTACCTTGAAAATACAGTAAACTATATATAATAACACCAAGATCTATGTTAAAATATAATTTAGAAAAGGGAAAAAATGCTACTCTGCCCTAATCTGAAACTTTACTAGAAAGAAAAGAATGTGAAAAATGTCTGTGGCCTATATCACATATTGTGCTATTTCAAGAAGAACAAATTTTTATCAAACACTTTAGTGTACCAGAAGTGATTTTATTTCACTAACTCAAAAGATGTACACACGTTTCAAAAACAACATTTTCTAAATTAATCCATATTTTTACTCAAACTCCATAATCATGTGTCCTCTCTGCTTCTATTATTCTGTCTCAGGAAATAACACCACTAACCAACCAATGGCCCAAACCCAGAACCTAAAACTATCCATAACTCCCCCAATTCACAACAATTATTCTCCAAGTCCTTTTGGTCCCACCTTGGTATTAGTGCTTGAATCCATTCTTCTCTGTATTTGCAGTGACAGGATTTAGCCCTTCAGTACTTCTTACCATGACTACTACTACAGCCTCCTAAATGCTGTCTACCTATAGTCTCACTCTTCTGCATTCATTTTCTTCGAAATCACCAGAGCAATTTTCCCAAACTACATATCGCATCATGTCACTTAATGTTTATAGTCCTTCAATGGCTCCCCATAGTAAGCACTCAACAAAATCCATCATGTGCTTGGTCCCAATTACCTCTCTAGTGTCACTCTATAAGCCCTCCGTCTCCTAACTTACATAAGTCATAACATGCTACATGGAGTTCTCTAAACCCTCCCAATCTTTACATATTTTTTTCCCTCTGCTTTTTAACTCTCTCCCACTTTCACAAGCTAACTTACCCTTTAGAAATGAATTCAGTCCTTACCTCTTTTAGAACGCTATCTTTGACCCCTTCAGTCTAGGTTTAGGACTACTCCTAAGTATAATCTTTGTACTTCTACCACAATAATTCTAATATCACGGCTATTACCTCCATTAGATGACACTCTCCTTGAGGGTAGAAACTGCTGTAATATTTTTCTTTCTACAGTTTACTCAGTAGAAAGTTCACTGAATAACTGCTTATAAGACTAGAAACTACATAAATACTTAGCATACAATGTAATGACTTTCAGGAATCAGCAGAATTATCTCTTTCCTAAGTCTAGTATTGAAATGGAATTAACTCATATAGTAATTGATATATCACTTTAATCAATACTTACTTCTTCCATATCTTTCCACATTTCTTCACAATGTTTAATAAGCTCTTCTTTAGCATTTGTAACATCTTCTACATCTGTAGTTCTATCTGGATCTAGATCTCGGTGACTCACTGACATGTCCTTTGTGATTTTCTCAGCCTTATAAAATAACTAAAGTAAAAAACATTTATTCATTTATTTTTGTTGAACATCTGTTCCCTGCCAGATACTTACGTAGGAGATAAAGATGTAACAGTGAACAAAATAGGTAAAAATCCCTCATACAAGGGCACCTACATTCTAGTTACGAAAACAAAAAATAAGCCACAACGTTTTAAAAGTACATACTGTGGCATATCAATTGCTTTATAAGTGCTATGGAGAAAAGCAAAGCAGGGAAGAAACATAGTGAATGCTGAGGAAAAGGGCAATGCAATTTTACATAAGGATGTCATATAAAGTCACTGAGAAGTTGAGAAACTGAGCAAAAGCATAAAGAAAATAAAGTGAGACATGGTGATACCTAGGAGAAGAGGCTATACCCAGGTAGAGGGAGCTGTAGGTGCAAAGGTGCTGGGGCAAGAATACAACTGCCCTGTTCCTACAGCGGTAAAACAGCTACTGTGACTGAGGCAGAAGATATCGGAGAGTGAACACAAGATAAAGTCAGAGAGATATAAAATAGATGAAATCTTGTGGGCTTTAGGCCATTTTAACAACTTAGGCTAAGATAATAAGTGATTAAAGGATTTTGAACAGAGGAGTAACAGGATTTAAATTAAGTTTTAACAGCACAACTGGTTAACTACAGCTAAGTAAGGACAAAAGCAGGAAAGCCAGTTAGAAAACAAATGCAAATCCCTGGCTGGTGTAGCTCAGTGGGTTGAGCGCAGGCCTGCAAACCACACGATCATGGTTTGATTCTCAGTCAGGGCACATGCCTGGGTTGCAGACCAGTTCCCAGCAGGGGACTCACAAGAGGCAACCACACATTGATGTTTCTCTCTCCTTCTCTCCTTCCCTTCCTCTCTAAAGATAAATAAAATCTTAAAAAAAAAAGAAAGAAAGAAAACAAATGCAATAGTCCAAGCAAGATGTGGTCCAGGATAATATCGAGGCAGTACCAAATATCCAATTCTGAATATATTTTCTTTTTTAAAATTTAATCTTTATTGTATTTTTTCCATTACCATTTAGTCCCCTCATACCACTCCCCACCCCAACAATCACCACACTATTGTCCATGTCCATGAGTCCTTTTTCCTTAGAGCCAACAGGATTTCCTAACAGCCTGTATATAGATAAAGTGCCAAAGAAAGAGAGGAGTTGATTATTACTAGAAAAGTTTGGACCTATGCAATTGGAAAGATGAAGTTGCCAATCACTGAGATGGGGAAGATGGTGGAAAAAACAAGTTCAGCAAGATGTGAGCAAGTGTTGATTAAGAATTCAGTTTAGCAAACCAAAATGAACTCATAGATACAGACGAAAGAATGGTGGTTACAAAATGGAAAGGGGGTTGGGGAGAGGGCGAATTGGGTAAAGGGTCAAATATATGGTAACAGAAGCAGACAAGCCCTAGCCAGTTGGCTCAGTTGGTTAGAGCACTGTCCTGTGCACCAAAAGGTTATGGTTTCAATTCCCTGTCAGGGCATATACCTAGATTGCAGGCTCGATTTGGGTTGGGGCGTGTACAAATGGCAACTAATCAATGTTTTTCTTTCTTCCTTCTTCTCTCTCTAAAATCAGTATATATATCCTCAGGTGAGGATTAAAAATAAGAAAGATGGACTCTGGATGGTGAGCTTGCAATAAAGTATACAGACATTGAACAATAATGATGTACACCTGAAATTTGTTATTAATTAATGTTATTTAAACTAATTTAATTTTTAAAAAAGAATTCTGCTTAGAATTCATTGACTTTCAGGTGTCTATTAGAAGAGCTGCTGACTAGGCAATTGGATACACCTATCTGAAGTTCCATGGAAAGTTTCAATTTAGAATTTGAGTCACCACCACACAGCTATTTAAAGCCATGAGGCTGCATGAGATCAGAAGAGCAAGAAAGTACAGACAGAAATTAGAAAAGTTCTAGACCTAGAGAGAGTAAGGAGATAAGGAAGAACCACCTAAATAGTCTGAGGAGTGCCCAGTAAAGTGAGAGAAAAATCAAGAGTATGTATCTTGAAATCCAAGTTGAGAAAGTGTTCAAGGAGTGAGGAACTGTCAGATATTACAGATAGGTCAAGTAAAATAAAAACAGATTGACAATTTATTTAGCAATATGAATAGGGAACTGTATTTTTCAAAAATAGTCACAGCAATATTTCAGGCTGTCATTCCCCATCCAGAGGCAGAGCCTGTTTACCCTCCCCTTGAACCTGAGCATGACCAAAATAGCTTATACCTCTCCCTCTTGAACATGCATCATTGCAACCCAACCACCATGCTGCGAGGAAGCTCAAAGTAAAGAGACCGCATGGACAAGTGCATACAAAAATGAACTGAGATTCCACTCAGTTAGCATCAACCACTAAACATGCATGTGCACACGTTTTCTGATGATTGTGAGTCCCACCTGAATTCTTGTGCACAGAATCACTGAGTACAGTACATGGCTGTTTTAGACCTCTTATATTTTGGGGTGATTTGTCACAATAATTTCACTGAAGACTGTCACAAAAATTAACCCACTGTTAACTCTTGTAAGTATAGTTTTAGTAAAATGGTGTGAGGGAAAGTCTGATTGGATTGAACTCAAGAGAAAATAAAAAGCAGGGAACTGAACATATCCAGTATGCTTGTATAAAACATTTCAAAAGTTCTTTTTTTTCTCCAAAGGGAAGGAGAAATAAGGTACCAGTTGAAGAGTGATATGGGATCACGAGATTTTCTTTTTTTAAATGGGAGAAAATACACCATCGTTATTTGATACAGTAAAGGAAGGAAATATTGGTGATGCAGGAGAGAAGGAAGAAAAATGGGATCTAGAACACAAGTAGAGAGGATGGCTTGAGATAAATGTACATAGTTTATTCATTTTAATGGGAAGGTAAGCAGAATATTAGGGACATAGATGCACAGAGGTGAGTAGATGTGTTAGTAGGAGTTTGGTAGAACTGGAAGTTCTACTTGGGTTACTTGCCTTTTCTCAGTGAAATGGTAACCAAGGGTATCAGCCGTGAATGAGGGTGGAGGAAAAGCACTGGCGGTTTAAGAGCAGAAGGGAAAGTTTATAAAATAGTCATAAAAGAGATGAGAGAAGATAAAATAGGATTACCGGGTAGTATTAAAGGCCCAGGAGAAGGTAGCAGTCCTGAATTTAAAGTGAAACTAGAACGTGGTTGCATGCTTTCCTCTCTAGTGCAGCAGCATAGATGCCGGGACAAACTGAAAGAATGACAAAGTTTTACTACCTGTGGTCTCTCAGATATGACCACAGTAGTAAAGGGCTAATGTAAGGTGGAGAATATAATCACTGGGGGAAAGGATGTCAGGAGAAAGAAAGGTCAGCTTATTGAAAGGATCCTCTAGACGGATATTAAGATCACCAAGAATCATGATAGCAGTGTTACCGAGGGTGACAGGGCGCTAGGAGCTAAAAATCTTCAAGGAATGAAGGAGTGTGATAAAATTTCGCTACACTGTTATGAGAAGTGGTGGGTGGTAAAGTCTGATGGCATAAGATTCAAAGTTCGGCAACTCTAAGGAGGCTGACATAGCAATAAAGAATGACGAGGACATTTACTCATAACACCAAGCGCAAACCAGAATAACCAAAACTCCCAAAATATTTTTATTCATATGAACTTGAGTTTTATATTGTTTAATGAATTTTTTAAATCAATGGAGAGGTTTTAAAGACTTAAATAGATATATTATATTTATAGACTGGAGGACTCAGTATTTTGTAAAGATGGTAATTCCCTGCAAGTTGATCTGCTGTATCTTTCAAAATTCTGAAAGTTTTTGCTTGTTTCTGTGGCACTTGTTCAGCTAATTCTAAATTTTATATGAAAGTACAAAGAGCCCAAAACAGCCAAGACCTTTATGAAGAATAAAACGGGAAGACTTGCCTTACCAGATATTAAACTTATTGTAAAACTACTAATTATAATAGTGTGCAACTAACACATAGACAGGCAAATTAAACAACAGAACAAATACAAAGCCCTTCTAGATTAACATATTTATAGAGCTAAGATGTATGAGGGAGGCGATAATGTAAATTAGGGGGAATGAACAATACAAACAGGAGCATATTTTATTTACTACACTGCTTTTTTCTTTATGTAACGTATTTTGGCCCATGTAGACCCCATCCTTTCTTTTTAAACAAACTACATAGTATTCTGAGGTAAAAAATAAGGCTACATATATACCTTGTTCTTTGTATCACTCCTCCATCCCTCAAAAAAACAAAACAAAATCATTAAAAAAGTACAGGGAGAAAACCTGAAGATTTTTTCCCTTTACCTTAGATTAGGAAAGGCATTTCTAAAAACTAAGCAAGATATCTACACAAAAATTTTTAGAATTCTGCATGAATAAAGATATTACAAAGTTAAAATTTAAAACCCAAAAACCTAAGAAAAATATTTATAATATATGGCATGCCATACCCAATTTAATTATGTATAACAAGTGCCTACAAATTAATACAACAAAACTAACAACCCATCATTATTTCAGATCCGCATGTTGATAAAGCTGTTTACCTTATAATAACTTATAAACTTTATATATATTTGTGTGGGATGTTTTGTATCTATATTTTACTTTATGATAAAAAGGTAAACAACAAACAAAACAATACAGCAGAAATGGGCAATGACATAAATGGGAAATTCAAAGAAAAAAACTAATAAATTCCTTTTAAATTAGATAAAAACATTTTAAACCTTACTCATAACTTATAAAAATGGAATTTAAATAAAAGTTAGTTTTATTTGAACATAAATAATGACACATATTTGGTAAGAAACAACATTGGCAAGAGTGTAGACCAAGAGGCACACATAGTTAGTAGATCCATTTCTTGGTAGGATAATAAACAATATCCATCAAAATATTAAATGGATTATCTTTTGACCCAGGAAATTGTTCCTAGGAATAATCCTTTAGATAGATGTATTTGCTCAAGTAAACATAGGTATGCTTACTGCAGCATTACTTAAAAAATAATTATAACTGTGAACTCTACAATCAGATTATCTAATGTTAAAACCTGGCTTTGATACTTACAAGCTGTGTGACCTTGGGCAAGTCACTTACCTGTCTGTGCCTCAGTTTCCTTATCTGTAAAATGAAGATGATAATATTACTTAACCCTTAGGGTTTTTCTGACAATTAAATGAGTTACTATGTAAATTTCTTAGAATTGCACCTAGTATATACAGAGTATTAGTTATCAGCATTACTATTAGTTATTAGTATTAGTTATCAACATTACTATTAACAATCTGAGTATCAGCTAATAGAAGAATGGTTAAATAACTTATGCCATATCCAAAAATATTTACACCAAATGTCTTCCTTGCTATATACAAAAGATAGTTCACAAAGCCAAAAAATGGTCATTAACAATCTTAGAATATTTTAAGCAATAAAATAAAAAAAATCATGTTTGTATTAAATATACCTTAACTTACAAACTAAGTGCAAAGTGATCTTTCCCCACATTTTATACTACTAATCAATAAAATATAACATCAGAATGCAAAAGTCATGTGAAACTGTGTGCATGTGGAGACAGTCAACAAATTAGTGGGACTGGCAGCTCAAAGTAGCACTGGCATACAAATAAAAACATTTAAGGGTTAAACTTTACCCCTTTCCTACATTGTGTATCCTTAAAACTACCTTTCTGGAAACAGAACAAGTTAATCTTTTGCAGTCATTGGTACTAGAATTCCAAATTTCTTGTTGAAGAACAATATTGCTGTGTTTGGGAATACTATCGTAAAACATCTAGTACCAAATTTTAATAACTCACACTACTACTTCATGTACTAATATACATGAAGTACAGTAATAGAGAATACCCACAGAATTCTAAGCTGTATTCATTCATCCAGCAAATATTTTCTTAATGAATGTCATTTGTCAGAAAATGTGGCAATAGCTGTGAAGTCTGTCTTCACAGAGCTTACATTTTCACTAAGGAGAGACAATACAAACAAATGGACAACTAACTACCTGGTATGATTTCAGGTAGTGAGAAGTGTTATGTTATGGCAACTCATACAATACAGACTGCAAATGTTTCCAGAATTCAGGATAGAAAAGATCAGAGAACTCTACTTGGAATAATAAAGGGCTTAGGACAGTGTTGTGTGCACAGTACTAGCTCCCTACCATTATCATTACCAGCCTTAATCTTCATTATTTTAGCCGTAAGGTCTAACAGATGAGAAGCTGTACAGGGAAAAGCTAGATGTGCTGTAGAAATAGTTTCAAGGCATAAAAACATAAGAAGGGAAGACAAGGATGAGCACGGCAATCAGTGAGACACACAAAAAGTAATCTGATCGGAGAAGAAATGATACTTGCTAGGTAGGAGGGGCCAAATAAAGGGAGTCTTTAAAATTAAAAACAAACAAAAACCTTTAGAAAGCACTTACTATGAGCAATTCCTTCCCTTTATCTGGGGTCCATCTCAAAGCAAAAGTAAAGACATTAGGTTTGAAACAGGCAAACTAGGAGGCTGTTACGTAGGTTTTTGAAAGCATTGGTTTAGGAAGGTCATTTCGACAAGTTGTGTTTTTAATAGATTAAAAAATAAGAAGTTAAAATGGCAAATTTTATGTTACATGTTTGTTTTTTTTTTCCACCACAATTTCTCTCATTTTTTAAAGAAGAGAGCTGAAGTCCAGAAAGCCGCTAAAAGATGGAAGCCTAGACCAGGGTGAAGGCTGAAGAGGGGGCCACTCGGGTTACTTGGAATGGCTGGGTCTCAACAAATAGTAACAGGCGCTCACCCACTTCTTCAGAGAGATAGTGAGAGAATCAAGAAGCTGGAGGGAAAGACAGGTTTACAGCACGTGAGGGAGACCCAGGTAACCAGATCTTTTAATTCCCCGCCGCTCCGTTTTTCGCTCTAATCCTCGGGGTTCTAGAGCCGAAGAGCTGGACTAAAGGCCCGGCTGGACGTCGGCTATCGGCTTTCCCGGAGGTGAGGTCCCACCGTCCTGGCTGCAGCTCTATATCTTGGAAACTGCCAGCCCCGGCGCCAAGGGCAAATCGTTACAGTGCTCTCGCCTGCCCATTTCTTACCACTACGGAGTCCCAGACTTCCAGCCGCCGCCGCCAGTACAACAAACTTTGCTTCCCGGACCCGTGCGCGCGCTGCGTGCAGATTGGATCCACCACAGCCAATCCCGAAACTTGCGGTCGCTAAGGACAGGCTGCGTCGCTGCCTTGGGATTGGTTGTCGACATGTGTGTGTCGCGCCTTCTCTGACGATTCGAACAACATGGCGGCGGAAGGTAGTAGTGATTCCCAGATAAGACGAAGAAGGCACCGGGATGCGGAGGAACCGGAAAAAACGGAACTCAAAGAGAGAGAACTGGCAGTGGCCGTAGCAGTGGCCGAAGAGAACGACGAGGATACTGAAGAGCGCTGGGTTGGGCCTCTACCTGTCGAGGCAACATTGGCCAAAAAGAGGAAAGGTAGTTACAGACATAGGCACAGGGCAAGATGGAATGTTGCGAGCCTCGAGTGGGGGAGTTAAAGCCAGACTGAAAAGGGATGGTGTTTGTGAACTTTTGTGCCATCAGAACAGAGGGTCCTCTTCTTATTTCTGGCCCTTTATATTTGTGCGTGCTCCCAAAGTAGGGACTTGGCCGCAGTGCGGCGTCTTTTTGACCATATGAAACACTATTAATCACAGATTTGTTATAGTAGATACTAGTGCTTACTTAGGCCAATACTTTGTTTCTGACGCCTCTTTTAATCCGTACAGTAGCCATAAGAGGTTGGGATATATAATTCCAGTTAGTAGATGTGAAAAAGAGTACTGGTTCTCTTAGGCTTTTAGTTCAAGAGTGGTGGGAGTGTGGGGACTCAGGGCGGGGCTGTGGAGACGACAGTGCCCATTTAGAATCGTAAAGTGTAACTTGATCATTTCAGCCCCCCCTTTTCAAGTTAGTGAGCTTTCTAACCAGGGAACATAAGTTTCCTGAATCACATTTTTATCAGAAACACCAGGTCTGTGGTTTTCAAACCATACTCCTTGCATACCGTGGCATGAAGCATTTTGCCTATAACGTAGAAGTGTGGCAAAATTTTATCAAAAAGAGTAAAGGGATAGATTAAGTTTTCTTTTTTTATGTTGTTTTATGAAATGTTTTCCTTAAACGTGTAAGGTCATTAAAATGTGATCTTTTAAAAATTCAAATTTTACTTTATCACTCTTCCTACTTAACTCTTAAGTGATTTCTCATTATTTTTCAAGGTTTGAATTCCCTTTGATGGCACGCAAGGCCTTTCATGATAGAATCTCTCCTTATCTAACTAGCATATATCCATACTTTTCTCTCCTAAACCGTTGTCATTTCTCCTCTGCACGGGCCATACGAAAACAATTGGATGACTGTTGGGGTGTCTTGGTGTCTCTGTACCTGGAGTATTTACCCTCACCCCTTCACTTGGCTAACTTTTTCTGTGTGTGTTCAGCCTTTAGCACTCAGCTCAGTTATCACCTGCTCCAGGTAGTCTGTGACTTCTCCAGTCTGGGCTAGGTTTCTAAAGCATATTGCTAATAATTCTGAGATAATGGTTATCGCACTGAATTTACAGGTAGCCTTAGTATCCAGATTTTGAAAAAGCTTTTTTGAACCTGTACATTGACATCAGTAAAGTGCATTACCTATTTTTTTACTTCCAAGTCTATTTTTTTACATCCAAGTCTAAGAATTTTTTATTACACTTGCTACATCTTGAAATTGTTTATTTATTCATGAGATTGTCTGATTAATGTTCCTCTCCACTGCTAAGACTGTAAGCATTTAAGAGCAAGTTTTACTCCATTGCTTTGCATATAGTGGGTACTCAGTAATTATTCACTGAATGAATATTACAGTGTTTGTGCTCTTGTTTGTTTTATGGAATTAGAATAATCTTGTATATTCTTTTTTATGGAAATAAGGGGGAAGAGAAAATCTAAAAATATCAGAGCTGATATTAATGTTAGGAGACAGATCTTAGAATCTTAATACAATTGAGACAGATATGGAAATTATGAGGTGTGAAGAATCTTCACCGTTCATCAGATGTTTATTGTATTTAAGCCAGTAAATAGTGAAAAAAATTTTAAGTTTAAAATATACGTGAAGTGTTTTTTTAAAAATATTTATGATTTTATCTAAAAGGATGAGTTTAGTAATATATTTAAATTTCTAGAAGTGGAACTGTTTTCCTTTAACATATTCTTTGGATATTGGACTTTCACATATATTTTCAGAAAAACATTACAAATGATAGGGCACTACCTGTAATTAAACTGATGAATCCATAGTCAAGGACAGGGACTATGTGTTATTCTTTATGCCCATGTTTTCAATAAATATCTCTTCAACAAGTAAACTAACTCAAAGGAATGTGTATCAGATAGGATTAAATTTAATTGCATATTACAGAAAACCCCAAAATAACAATAACATTAAAAGAAGTCCCAAGATACACAGTCTAGGACTGATATGGAGGCTACAAAGGAAATGTAAACAATTTGCAGTTTTCTGTCCTAGCATCACTAGGGTGTGGCCCTCATCTTTGTCCTGGGTGAGTATTAGAATTACAGTGCTCATACTCCAGTTCCAAGCTGTAGAACTGAGGAAGAGAAGTACACCTTTTGAAGAAGACTTCTAGACTGTCACACATTTCCGCTTTTATCTCATTGGCGTAAGGTTATACCTAACTGCAGGAAAAGGTGAGAAAGGTAATCTTATAGCCTGGATGTCAGTGTGCTCATATAAAAACGTGGGTTCTGTTACTAAAAATTATGGAAAAAGTAGTTCATTGGACATAGCTTTGAGTCTGCTAGACAATAGTTATAAAAAAACTAAAATAGGTTATTTAGCAATTTTTATAGGCATATTTGGAGAAATAAAATTGTTGAATTTTTTCTTTTGCATTTTGAGGGAGTCATCGTCGATCAATTGTTAGATTATTTTTATTAAGTACATACTTAATGCCATTATTTTACTAGTAAAATTGTTTATATTGGAATCAATATTTTCTCAGATTATCACTCTTACAAATGTTTTGCCCCTAGAAAGTGCTTCAGAAGCACTCAACTGAATATTCTGTAGGATTCTTTCAGCTCTGAAAAACCCAGTGGCAGTGACTTCAAAGAGGATTAACGCCTTAAAGATAAACTGGAACATCTTATAGATGGCTGATGGTGTCTTATGACTTATTTAGGTTAACACTAACAGTTGGATCTATGTGGTTAGGAAGATGATTGTGATATTTTTATGAAGTTTTTTGGTTTTGTGATTGAATGGAACTTTCATACTAAGGCACCCATTCAGTTCCTAAGTTCTGGAGACAGTTAAGCATCTATATAATACCTAAGAAGTTGTGCCTGACTAAATAATAAGGCTGTGTAGTACTGTGCAGTATTAAAAGTTACAACTGACATAGAAGACACTGGATTTTTATTTTCATTACATATGGAATAGGCAGAAATTAAAATCTAGATAAAAATACAAAGCAGAATTTAGAAAATTCTAAATAAATTATGAAATAGCATCTGGTTCCAGTTGTTAAAAATAATTTTTTTCCTCAGTTCTAGAGTTCGAAAGAGTCTATCTGGATAACCTCCCCAGTGCATCCATGTACGAGCGCAGTTACATGCACAGAGACGTTATCACCCATGTGGTCTGCACCAAGTAAGTCTATTCACATTTTTTGAATTTTTTTCTGAGAAGAATTTTTCTATATGCTTCAGTTTTGACACGGACTTATAGGAGTAACTTTAGGACGTTATGGGTTTCTATTCAATTCCAAAGGTTTTGTGATAGTTTAAGTTAAAGGCCTACATGTTCTTTTCCATATTATAAAGGAATGCATTCTCTGAGATAGAACTCTTTAGCTTGTGTGTATGTCTTTTGGAAATAAATTCCAAAAGGGGATGAACCAGGTAGTGTCTGAGCTTTCCAGAAGGGTACATTATTTAAAATGAGTTTTTTTGTAGCTGGCCTCTTCACAGTACTAATGGGGAAAATGATGAGAACTGAGACGTGCTGAAAATGTCACAGGACCTTGAGAATGAATGGGGATTTGGAAAAGGATGATCATCATAGTAATATTCTACTGTATGTTAAGCTCATATTATGTCCAATACTGTTTTCATAAATTATCTCATTTATCTTAAGAACAATCTGATGAGGTAGTAATACAATCTACATTTTATAGGTAAGGAAACAGGTTTAGAGAAGTTAAATGGCAGATGAGGCTGGAGAAAAAAATGCAAGGGGTAAGTTCCAGAGAGTTTTCTATTCCTTATATGGATTTTGAATCTATCGGGAGAATAACATCAGATTTCTCTCTTTTTTAAGATTTTATTTATTATTTATTTTTAGAGAGAGGGGAAGGGAGGGAGAAAGAAAGGGAGAGAAACATTTATGTGTGCAAGAAACATCAATTGGCCACCTTTTGCATGCATCCCAGCCAGAGACTGAGCCTGCAACCCAGGCATGTGCCCTGACCAGGAATTGAGCTGATAATCTTTCACTTTGCGGGACAATGCCCATCCAACTGAGCCACGCCAGTCAGGGCACAGGCGAGATTGATGGATTTAAATAGGGCCAGAATGGATACTGTGAAAGCAGTATAATACTAGCATAGAAACCTAGATGAGATATGGTGGTTTCACTGATATTGGGAGTGATTATAGAAAGAAGTAGGTGAATTACTTTACTCTTTGGATCAGTCTGTTTTTAATTTCTCAGAAACCATTTAAAATATAAATTTAATTAAAATATCTTTATATTTCATTTATAGAATAATTCTGACCAAACTTTAGCACTTTTCCTAGTCCAAAGTTGTCAGGATATAAAGCAGCATATTGGACTGGAACTGCTATCACCCCCTCAGGGTTTTGTTTTTTTTTTTTTATAACCCAGGGCAGCAAGGTGAAAATTATAATAGAAAGATTATGGGTTTTGAAGTTCAGCAGATCTGATATTGAATGCTACTCTTCAGTTTTGGACCTAGGGCAAATATATTTAACATTTTAAAATTATTTCCTAACTCGTTAAATGGTAATAAAAAATACCACCTTAATAAAGTTGCTACAAAGATTAAATAAGGTA